TATTCCTAAACGATTAATCGCTAACGACTTCCGGGGAATATCTCCCAAGAAACTATCTTCGGACGCGCTTCGAATGTGCGTCGATATTAATTTAACCAGGACATTTCCGAGGTGTAACGCAATTAACAGAATAAGATCAAACAAATACGAACAGGTGACAATTATTGGCTGCGTTCAGGGCACATATTACTCGTATAAATTTGTTCGAAATAAATTCCGATTACAATTATTCTGTTTTTTCTAGAAAATAATAGAAATCTAGGAAATAATTAAATGTCCATTCCGAATAATTTCATAATATATAAGAGAAGAAAAAGCAGCTTTGAAATTGTTATAAATATGGTTAGTTCTTACCCTTAATTTAAATGTATAAGGCCCGATTGCACCAACATTACTTTGATTTTAAGCAAGACTTAAAACTCTCTCTGTCTTTGTCTCTTTTTCGCTTTAAAACGAGATGGAGAGAGTTTTAAGTCTTGCTTAAAGTCAAAGTAACATTGATGCAACCGGGCCTAAATCAATCATATTACTAAATTTTAATATTTGTTCGCATAATACTAACTAAATATTGACTAAATGTAAACATATATTTATATTTGGTACAAGAATTATTAATTTGACTTAAGGATCACTTCTTTCGTTAAGTAAATATTTATTTATTAAATAAATTTCAATTAATACTATTGTAAAAAATATTAAAATTTAGTGAATCTTTTTTTGCGGTACGCAACAAATTTTTAAAGCCATTTTTTACGCTAACGCAGCCAAAGAAATTCGTCTCGGAGTAGCGACGACGATGACGAAAATGCAGTTTGAGGAGCGTAAAATCGAATAGAACCGACGCGCGAACCAATCCTTATTGCGATCCTAATTCCGTGAGAAGCCGGAATGGCGAATTGACATTTTCGGGGTACGCGGTCCCCCCCCCTGACTATATCCCTCTCTACCGACGCTGTCGCCGCCGCCCTTGTAATCCTTATCCTTCATCGCGGCGGCGACGGCGGCGGCGCCGGCGGCTCCTACCCCCTTGCTCCCATTCTCAGCCTGCTCGTTTTCTCTCCCTCACGATGATATTGATCCTCTTGCCGCGAGGCCCACCCACGAGCAGCAACGTTAGGCTGCCATTCGACCTAGTGTAGAACCGTAACGCGGATGAAGACGCGCGGAAACGACTAAAATCTCCGTTTTGCCCGAGGATTTTCATGTCGTTGGAAAATAAAAAAATAAAATAAAATTCAATATAAAGTAATATTAAATAACTCCGATTCAATCGGGATAACTTTGGCCTAAATTAAAAAAAATGCCTAAATAGCATGTCCAAAATCAGATCACAAAACATCAGGTTATCTTTAAGATGTCTTATTTCCCGATTTTGATGATGTGTGCTATTTGGACATTATCGAAATTTGGATCGAAGTTACTTTGATTTCAGGCAAGAGTTATCCCACTTTAAAGTAGCTTTTTTTTTTAAAGAGAGATATATGTGGCTGGCAAACGATAATCCCGATTCCAGGCAGATCGGAGATTCTTGCGGAGAGACAGTAACGCGATATGTCGGGAAAGAGATAAATAAAGCGGGGTGCGCGAAAAGTCTCGCGTTACATGCCGATCGCGAAACGCTCGCGTTATTGGCGGCAGGATAACGTGCCGGATAACGCACATTAATTTTCGGACGGATCGATACGACACGCGATAAGCCGCCGATGGTTTATCGTCCCTGGGATTTTCCGCGTGGCGAAACGGATCGAATTTATCTCGTGCGGTTGATGACGAATTTCCGATAACGCGTCAGCAACGCGTTATACCGACGAGACGGAGATTTTGGAAAAGTTCGAAAGTTTTAAGTGAAGAGATAATATATCTTGTAGGAACTCAACGCTTTTATTAATAACAGTTCAACATGGAATTTATTCTATATACGAAATGCCCGTATTATATAATGTTTCTTTTATAAATATTTATAAATAATACGATATATGTATATATGCGTCCCCAATCAAGGCCACCCTCAAGAAATTTAACACGTCGCAACCTTCATCTCGATTATGTCATGCTTTTTCACGATCAACTGTCGACAAGTACGAAAAGTTAACTTTTCAACGATGCAAGCGTCGCGATACACCTGTCTGTTTGCGCGTATGTGCACGTGGTTCTCTTTTGTGTAAAAATCTCGAGCGTATAATGCTGACATTGTGTAGCTAGTTTTCTAACAGGTCGGTAACAAATAGCTCAAATTTTTTTTTATTAGGCACTGCTTCCTTCTCTGCAATTTGTTCGGAAAAAAAGAGACAACGATCCACTGTGACAATCGACATCACGCACTTTTGTTCTCTCTCTCTCTCTCTCTCTCTCTCTCTCTCTCTCTCTCTCTCGGTTGGTCCCTGATGCTCTTCCCTATAACAATGCGCAGTTTCGCTTCCTCGCAGTTCTCTCTCTTCTCTCCTCCCTTCTTCTCTCACTCGCGTGAAACATACAAAATGGACAAATCAATGTAATTGATTTTTGTCAAGATTTTCTCAAAGATTTTACAAAGGTATTGACGTGAGAATCAGCCTCTAATCTTCGTCTTCTCTTCCTTTCCCATCTTTTTTTTAGATTATGTTTTATGGCCCCAATATTTTACAAGATAGTGTTACCCCACCCGATTGAAATTTAAAAAATGATGATTATTATTATTATCTTCTAATCCACTTGGCGCGGGACTTGCTAGTTTCTAGCGGAGTCGCGACAAGCGATAATAAAATCCGATCGGAAGTCTTTGTGCACACTTTCGGCGAACGGTCGAGGATGTGCTTTCTGCGTATGTATATATAAGCGCGGGATTCAATATATCTGTTTTACTCTTATATTATAACATTAATATTTCTTTTTGTCGTGTATTTGTTTTTTTTTAACAGTACTTTTGATTAGACGAACCACAGATCGCTATTCCTTTTTTGTTATCTATGGAATGTATCGCTATTTGGAAGAATAATCGCAGATTCCTTTTATCTCTTTCTTTCCTTCTCTCCCTCTCTTGTAGCATCGAACTACATAGTGACCTTATTATATATTAACAGTTCCACATATACAAATGATACAAAGCGCAAACTTTAGGATTTTGTTCGTTATTTTCATGTTCTTAAAAATCTTCGAAATAAAGCACAAAATGTTACCGTTTGATAAAATAAAAAAAGAAAAGAACGGTGAATATTTCGACGATACACTCCGCGCAAATTCCCGAGAAACGATTGCCCCTTTAGAAAATACAAGTAGTTCGCCGCGTCGAAAATGGAATCTATCTCACCGTGATTATTTGTGTGCGGCTTCGACATAGCGCGACACAGCACATTCGGTATTAAAACTTAATAAATATATGTACGAATTAACAAATGTGCCCTGTCGCTGATACATTCATTTTCTCGTCTTTTACTACACGCTCCCTCTCAGTCGCGCATAATTTCTTTCATGCACGCATTTCCGCCTGCATATTACCGACGTTATTAATTACTATTATCTCATTATAATATTTATCTATATATATTTTAAATTCCTTAGTCTTATATAATCGGCTAAACTGTGCGGGCTTAACGCTTTGAATTTCTTCTAGTTTTTAATATCTATTTACAATGAAGGACCATTTTATCTTGTATTAGTGCTAACAATGCAGTTTAGGAAGAAGTTTTTTTCAATCCTTCTTACTGTAAAAATTTCCAATGTACGGACCGATCATATCAGCGCGCGATTTTGCATCACGCGTCACAAACTCATAAAATTGAATGTTTGATAATTGACTTGCTGTTAATTGTAAGTATGCCGTTAATGACATAATTAAATACGCTACTCTCTAATCGTTACGTTACTACATTATTATTTTCATAATAATGTAATAATATAACGATATATTATTACGCTATTGTGATATAATGATATAATATAATCGTTACATTGTTACATTATTACTCTTATAAAGTATTAACGCCCGGCCAGGCTCGCCTGTCCAGAAATCTTGGACGTTTTGCAACGACGAGTCGGCACAAGGTAACCAATTTTTGCGGCCGAATAGGTTCAGTCGAATAAACTCTAATTGTGGCCTCCTTATCAATATCAATATCTCTATCTACTTGCGTGAATTTTTAACGTGAAAAATCAAGAGAGAGGAGAATCGTCTTGCGGAATGCCCGTCGAAGTCATCGCAGTTGTCGAAGTCGTCGACGCGAGCACTCGGAAATTTATCGATCGTTCTCGACATAGCCAAGCGTGGGCGAACTTGAAAAAGAAAATAGGAACCGCGACCTCCTGGCTTTGTTTCATTTTTTTCTCAAAAATGGGTATCGTTGCCCAACGAGAAAACGATAGAACGATTTCCACGTACCTCTTGATATCCCACGCTACCACATCTCCCAGGGCTAAACTCCCTCGCCCTTCGGCGGTTATTACAAAATTAAATTTTACTAAAATGTGATTGCCTAAAAGAATAGTCGGCAGCCGCGGTAGCGGTGACCGAGAATGCACTACGACCGGCTGTGGGACTCTGTCGCACCGGTGGGTAACTGTCGTCATTCGCAATTGTCAATCATTGAATATAACAAAGTACCTGCATATCATATCAATCTGCATCCGTTTCTCAACATCGAGCTCAAAAAAGTCAGTCCTTTATCATAATATTATTATTTCCATCAATCATACCTTTTAGAACTCTAATAATATTGACTTGAATCAAACGTTTCGTTGATAGACAATGCTTTTTTGTAATTAAAAATCGAAGATTCGAAAAGGGATATTCGGGTCGATGTTTTCTTCCAAAAATGCACTAACGAGAAAATCGATTCGTTTGATATAATGAGGGAAAACACGATGGGAAGAAAGCAGATCAATACGCGGACGAAGTGAAATTCGTCGGTACCATTGCGCTAAGTATACACTTTAAGGGATCGATCTCATTCGCTTGACATCGTAGTAAAATCGGCATACCGCCAGGCACCGACATCTAAACCGACCGTATTGTAGGTATGGTTCCATTACAGAATATCGAGATTAAAACCGGCCGTAGAGTCGAGAGAATTAAGCAGTTCTTGGGCGCTAAAGTTCGACGTATCTCCTGTAGGAAGGTTCTCCAAGAATTCGAGGGTAAAGTCAGGGGCCGTAACGGACGGATCCGTAGTGGTGGCCGGTGGTGGCGGCTGAGTGTGCTGCTGCGGTGGCGGTAGACTACGTACTCCAGGACTACCTGCGCCATACTGTTGATGTGGATGCAGAGGAGAACCTAAACATACAATTCATCAAGTCTAATTAAATGTGTTGAACGTTGCTACAGATATTCATGGCACAAAACGTAGAGCATGTAAGTCCCATTGGTAAAAATTTAATTATCTTCACTTGTAATTTTTTACGAGAGCGAAAAAACTTATTGAATAATTTTTTTTCAATTTGGGGATTTAACTTCTTTTGCACTTTTCTCCTTACAACAGTAGAAATAATTTAATTCTTTTGAAATTTCAATGTAAATTTTTTTTTATATTTTCGGATACAGCTGCTTTTTTATATATAGACTACTCAGATAATTCCATAGGAAATTCCATTTAATTTGTATGGCTAATAATGAGTTACGCTCGAGCGTGTCAGAACATTTTTGTTTTCGGTGTATTTTTCGCGGATCACTACTCACCGGTCCCAGTAACGTTGACTGAATTTACAGACGTTGTCTGTGACATCTGCATCTGCAACGACATCTGATTGTTATTCTGCTGCATAGCCAGCGTTTGTTGTTGGTGCTGTTGCGTCAACAGCTGTTGCATCTGCGTGCTATTGGACATCCCCGAACCAGCTATGCCGCCGTTTTGCGAACGAATTAACTGTTGATGTTGCATCTGCGCCGCAGTCATTTGCATTGTGTTGCCCGCACCACCCATGCCGAAAGCACCTGCGAAAAATGTGATTTAATAAAATCCCGCAATATCAATTCAAATAATTTTCACGAATAATAACAAGTAAGGTTCGCGAGACGTGCTTAATTCTCTATGAATATGATTTGCATTTATGCGTTTATATCCAAACAAAACGCAGCGACATGCACATTCGTGATCTCCGACGAAAACGAGGACATCGTTCGAGAGAGCAAACTTCAAATTAACGCGAAATAAGATAAATCTGACATTACAATAACTGACTCACGATTCTTTCAATGAATACGATAGTATATCCAGATGCTTTTCAGCAAGAGACAGACGACACAGTGACATAACATAATGAATCATTATATCCTTGTTGTTTGCGAATGAAACCAAGATGAAATGATCACTGTTACACTATGTTTCTTGCTGGAAAGCGCATCATATCTGTTTCTTCTTCTTTCTCTTTCTCTCTCACACCTTGGTGACTTTGCTGGTTGAATTGCGAGCGCATTTGCGCCTGAAAGCCCTGCTGTTGTTGCATCAAAACCGCGTGTCGCCATTGGTCCTGCTGGGCGCCGCGAGCCGCGATGCTGTTTCCAAGGCCGTCCGGAGGTCCAACGCTAACGTTGGGCGGCCGTTGATTGTTGGTTCTCGGGTAGCCTAGCCGTTGATGCATCTGATGCATATTGCCGATGGCAGCCATCCCACCGCCGCCCATGTACATATTACCGCCGGCCGCGTGTAACGCCTGCTGCTGCTGTTGTTGCGCCATTTGCGGCCTCATCATCGGACCTGCGAAAAACATTCACACGTGCCGTAATGCGGGACGTCGTCTGACGTTGCTACTGCTGCTACTTACTTAAACTCGAAAGTGCGTAAACAAAGAATTTTGTGACGGTACGAACGTATTAAATTCAACCGAAATTGTAAATCGCGATGACGTCATGGTACAGATGGTCGAATTCGAGAACGCGATGTTTTAAGGGAAAGGCAGTGCGCGGCGAAAATCTGCAGATTTCCTTCCGTTTGGATAGAATCTCGGGAAAACCGACGTCGACCCGATCGATAGGAGTCTTGTGGAGGCCAGGATATATAAGGATAGTTTCGACTCCCTCTCTCCGTCACCTCGCCACCTTTTGCCACCTCTGCCTCTCTTCTTCTTGGAATGAATCCAGCGGAACGTCAGCATCGCGTTTACGCTTGGTCGAATTCTTTCCACGCTGATATTCAACGTGTTATCCGCGCCAAGATGTTGAACAACGGTGAACATGAAGTATCGAGCGCATGAAATATCTATTTGCTATCACACAATGGATTTTGCGTGATATTGCTGTATTTTTTTCGCGGAATTATCTGTTTTCGTATTGCTCCCTTATACTTCAAAAGGAAGAAAACTCAAAAAATTAAGTATCCCAAAAAAAGAAAAAAATATTTCAACTTGCCAGAAGATTAATAACTAATCAAATAATATAGCAGCAAAAAGAATATAGTCCTAACATCAAATATCAGTTTCATTTCACAACCCTTTTAAAGATCATCTTTTTTTTAGTTGTGACAATTTCGATTATTTTTTATGAAGATAAGCTAGTCTGATGATTGATAGGGTAATGTTTACCTAATTCTCTCATTTATGATAATAACTTGAAAATCACGTTTTTGAGTTGTGTCACTTTTGAAGTAAGGAAGCGATCTATTAAAATTTAAACATCAAACTATAAGGTAAAAATGAAGAAACTATAACGGACCGGTAAAATTTTTTTTCGAGCTTACCCGACGGTGGCATAGGTTGTTGCGTAACTCTGCGCATGGGCCCAGTATTTGCAAACCTCGCTTGCTGACCCATACCGATACTAGCATGCATCATCTGTGCCTGGGCTGCGGCCTTGTATTCGGGCGGTGGCGGCCTTACGCTTCCCATTCCACCTGCCATATGCTGCTGCTGCTGCTGCATCACCTGCAAAATTAGAAATATACAAATATCAGAAAAAAAAACAAGAAATATATATACAGAATGATAGAGGTAGAACGCCTCCTAATCTTAACTGAATATTTTAGAAGAGAGATATATTAAAATCGTGTCATATATCTTCCTGCATTTCTAAAATCGAAGGCAGACACATCGATATATAGTATTGGACGGAGCATTAGTATCGAAACCATCTTGGCAAACCTAGAAAGAGATAGAGCGATTACAGGGATGGAGTGAATCATGTAATCAAGGGCCCTGAGGCATTAAGTTGATACATCTGTGCTCAGAGTGTTACTTTTGCATAAAATATACGTAGAAACTATATTTAAAGTTTTATTTTGTATCTAATAATTAATAATGTAAGTTTAGAATTATCGTACTGCATTAGTACCAGTCAATACTATGATAGCTCCTGATGTGAAAGAGAGAGAATATATACACTACTGTCCTCCCTCTCCTGAAACATAATTCGACCAATAGGACAAGAGTAGAAAGAGAGTTCCGTGCCCACTTAGCTAACTTACTTTTTCTAGGTCCGTCAAAACGAAAGATCAAAGAGATTTCGCCGCATGCTCCGTCCAGTACTATATATCGATGGGCGTCACCAAAAAGGCAACACGTGAATGTAGACACATTGCCTTTTTGGTGACTCACTTCGAAAGGTAAGACTTCGAGTTCGAAGTTGTATCCGACGATGGTTCGAAAATCGGCGTATACTGAAAATCGCAATGTGCAGTGTGTGATTTTAAGGTCGGCTCGTCGCGGTTTCCGTCGGTCTTTCGCGGAGCCTCGAGAAAGCGAGAGAGCAGAAGGGCGTTGCACGCCTAATCGCAGGTTGTTGCTCGGTCGAGAGTGGAAAGAGACGCCGGCCGGCGCGACGAACGAGAGGAGGTGAGCGGAGAAGAGTGGTGTGAGAGCGGGAGAGCGAAAGGGTGAACGTATCCGACGATACAGCGGCGGCGGCGAGAAAAGCGAGACGGGAGGCGAGCTGCATTCTAGCATCGCGGTTGCCGCCGCCACCGCTTTGCATTGTCGTGCGTTTTCCTCGCAGCCGCGTAATACCAGGAAGCGGAAAACGCAAACTCGGACGCTCTTGCACTGCGAGATCGCCGCACCGTCTATCCTGGTAAATCGTGCACAACGACGCATCTAACACGATCACGATAAGTCACCCGATTGTGAGCATCATTGTTCAAAGGAGAAGAAAGTACACTTCCACATGGAAAGAACGGTTTTGCTGAAATATTACAAAATTTAGCTAGATATACAGATCTAAAAATAATTTTGTTTAGACCATCAAAATGATTATGTAAGACGGTTAAATTGGTTGCTGGAATGTGGAAACTTCTTATAGTATTGTCATCAACGTTTATAATCGTTCTGCATACATAATTTTGATGATCCAACACAAAATTATTTTTAGATCTATATCTAACTAAATTTTTTAACACTTCAGCAAAACTCGGAGAGTTTTTTGGAGGTGAGTAAAATAATACCAGCTCTTATGAACAGTCAGATAATTTTAATTTTAATTTGTTTCGTTCTGATTTATATCGAATTCGAATTTTCAATTCGTAATCTCCAACGCGTAGCGTGACACGGGCTTAAGGTAGTTGTGGAAGTTTTAAAAATAATTTGTTTTCTTATTCTTTCGTCATCGATTCTCTTCATGCGAATTTCGTAGTTTTGCAAAAAGTTATTAACCGAGATATTTTAGAGATATCATCTCGATTCGCATTTCGATAATGTACAACGAGAATGGGAATGGGTTTCTGCAACGAGAGCCCTGGCAATTCCTAGAACTCATAGACGTTGCACGATGATGCTCCTGTTCTGTGCACGTTAACTATCCTAATGGATCGGAATGGATACGGGGCCGATCATCCCGTCAATTCCAATATCATCGCGAGGCCGCGAGTAAGCGCTAATTTAGATCGCGAGATCGCTTCATGTTGCGTGTAAGTGCGGAAAGAGAAGAAAAAAACAGATCCACAAATGCAATAAAGATATCAGTCTATCATTTTTGGCGCTTTTTGTTTTGCCTGAAAGATATCAGTTCCAACTCTCTTATTCACAACTTCGATTTGTGTGTGCTTACGAAACATTAGTAGAATCTAATTATAAATAATTATTCCAAGAAAACAAATATAATTTTGATTGTAATTCGATAAATATTACAACATGTCGCGCATTTGCTGTAACAATTTAAAAATTATCATTTTTTAGCTGCTTGTAGAAAAAGAATAAAAACATAAAGAAAAGAAGAACAAATGTACTTTAATAGAATATACTTTTATAGTTCTTTACAATCAGTTATTATACCAAAATTATATTTCAAAATTAATATAACAAATTTTAATAATTTAAAACATTGAATTTATTTTCTCGAAAATTTTGTTTTCTGAGTTGTGTTGTTTTTGTAGCAAATGAGCGATATGCAGAAGTATACTGATAAGGGCTTGGTTCAAGGTAAAGCGATTCAAGAATCAATCAAAAGAATTATGCTTCTTCAATTCATTGAGACCGTTCTGTCTGTTATTAATTAATTACATGTGTATATATGCAAAAATGTGTTTTGAAAGAAAGCAATCGATTCGCGCATACTAATATTGGCCGAGCACTCCTCACCCGGGATAAAATCGTTGGGCTGGCTGCGCGTCGTTCTGGATGATGCACCGCTTTATCGCCTCAAGCTTATCCCCGACTGAACAGGATGACTAACCAATTGCATGAAACGTACAATTAGTAACTGGAGCACGAGCATCGTCGTCTTTGGTACCTTAGTATTATCGAGATAACAATCGGGCCGTTGCGGACTGAGTCATTCGCCGATGCGACCACGCAAACTCTACGAGATCTCGACGAGTAGCTCCGTGTATGCAATTTTGCAATTGCCAGTGTTGCACTTAGATAAAAAAAATTATGTAGATAAGGATAAGATAAATTACACATAAACTTATCTTAGATAAGATAACTTTATTTTAAATTTATCTAGATAAAAGATGAAATTATAAAGCGTTTCATCTATATAATTTTAAGATAATATCACTTTTTAGCAAAACAATTTAAAGTATACATAGAAACAATATCTATATATCCATATTTTCATTTATCGTATAAATCTTTATATTTTTTAAAATTAAACTTACAATTATTACAAATATTACATTTGACAAACGATTTCTGTATGAAAGGGGAGAATGGGGGGAATGCGGCGTACCTAAGCAAAAGTAGAATATTTACGAAAAATGTTTTAAATGCAATAAGAGAAAGGATAAAATTAAAGCTGAATATCTCGTCTATCACTGTATGATAGATTTAATAATATTTTCACCGCGTAATACGTGAAATTATTCCATTTTAGAAAAAGTTTATATGCATCATATTACTCCATCATATAATGCAGTACATTACAGTTTTTATATTAAAAGATTATTAATATCATTTTCTGATTCTGTGTTAAATTTTGTTCATTAGTATGTCATAAAAAAAACTCATTTTGAGAGCATAATCCCATAAAGCTTATTATGTAAAGCAAAAAAACACTGACCTGACCTCAAAACATAATTAAAAAATGTTTATTTTCGTCTTATTATTTCCCAAACGTAAATGTGTCTGATGACGTAATATTACGAATATGTAAATAAACTATTATAAGTATAAAAAAATATAAAAATTTGAAAGATTAAAAATTCAACTTTCTAATAACATATTAATGTCATAAATTGTTTTGAAGAAACAAAATTATATAGATTTGTTTGAGATACAAATCTCACAAAAAAAAGTATATCAATCTAACTTTAGTTGATAAAAATAAAAAAATTCTGATATATAGATAAAAATAAGAATTTAATTCTTTAGATTTTTAAACATAAAAATACTTCAATATTGAAAGTACCTTTTTTTAAATAGCTTGATAACACTGATATGTCAAATTAATGTTGTAATAATTAAGAATTATAAATTTGGGACAGTATTGATCTAACAATATTAAACATCTGGTTCATAAAAGAGGAATGTTTAAAAATCCTATACTGGGGTGCATACTAAACTCGCTATACATTAAGATAATTTGAAAAAGATAACATTTCGTTTATCTAAAATAAAAGTGGAGATAATACATATTCTAGATATTAATTATATCAATAATGATAAAATAAAGCCATTTCTTCATTTAGAAAATTATCTAGATAATTTTATATAAATAACAGCAAACACTGACAATTGCTAAGTTGACTTCCCGGCGATACATGTCTAATCGCGCGATACGAGCGCAACAAAAAATTACTTCGTCTAATTTAAATCAATTTAAAAGTTTAAGAATGACTTCCCTATTACACCAAATCCTGGATGTACTTTGATCGAAGAGTTCGATTGAAAGTTTTCACGATGGAGCATTAAAGAGTCGTTAAAAAAAGGTCTTCTATCAAATTCTCTTTAAGGAAAGATAATCCCCAATTTCCTTCTCGTTAGAAAATATTTAAATGAAAGGAAAAAAAATCGAAAAGAATGTATACGTGCAATTAGAGAAAAAGATACAGTAGTGCCAAAATACAGATAAGTGACAACATATACAGTGTTATATATTAAATTAATATACATAGTTGAATAAACTATTTCGTAATTATTATATATTCGACTATAAAACAGTTTATTCGGCTACGTACATTAATTCTACATAATATCAAACTAGTATAGTTGTCATCTTTACTACCACTATGTTTTTCTCCGAGTGTGAAGAAGAGACCGACAAATTACATTGTCGCTTGCTGCGATATTCTTTGCGTGCGGAATAAGCGTGCTAAATTATACGTTTAACGTCGTCAAGAGTTTGTCGCCTCTAAGACCGACGAGGCGACGAAGAACCATCACGAACAAAAGCGTACGTATCGACGACGCTTAATCTCGCGTGAAGTAATCGCTGAGAACGCTAATTTGCCGATCCCGCTTCCCTCGATATCACAGGTTCTCCCACAGGAAACTCCGCGGTGCGGCGCAAAAACTTTTTCGTCCATTGTTCCCGTCTCGGAGAAAGCCCCCGTGTCCCCCGTCGCGCTCGCGCTATTTGTCCTATTTGTGTCGTTTCTTTCAACACGACGGGGCAGAAGTTGCAAAAGACCTAGTAGCGGTACCTGTTGCATACGGACGTCGCGGGCTCTTTCTCATATCTCTCTCTCTCTCTCTCTCTCTCTTTCTCTCTCGCCGGATACGAGCTTAATGTCTCGGATAATGTGCCATCGCGCCGCGATCTCGCGATTATCTTACCTGCATAGACGATCGTCACAGCGAAAGCTTTCGCCCCGGAGGACCATATCGGTTACCGGTGTAACGACTCAGAATCGCGATTCTCGAGCGCAAACGATATCATCGAATGAAGGTGTGAAAACGCATGGAAGACGATAATAATCGCATAAATATAAACGTTGCACGTGTGATCGTTACTACAACGCAGAGCAATTCGATACGAATGAGAACTGAACGTGTAATTTACGTACTTATCATGAAAATAATTTCGTGTCTACGATGCATATAAAAATCCGGATGGAGATCATTCGCATCGATTGTGAAATTGCTCGGACAGCGACACATGTTACCATCGCACGTGTCACCATCGTGTCGACACGTATCGTATACAGCACAGAAGCTTGCAACAATGTTACTGCGATATTGTTGCAATATTGCTAGAATAGTTTGCGCTGTATAGGGAAACGAGAGCTCCGAGTACCTCAAGGTAGAAAAATATATTGGGTGAAGACAGACAGACAGGCAGACAATCAAGTTGCTTACCTGGCTGCGGCATTCCGCCGGCGGCCGCGGCCGTCGCCCGCTGCCTTAGGCTCTGCTGAGTGAAATTGATGGTTTGGGACTGCGAGACCGAGCAGTAGGCGTCGGCCTGATTAGCCGATGGCCCGGCCTGATTCTGCGTCTGCTGCTGGTTGAAGTACATGCCCTGTTGCGCCGCGACAGACACGACCGGTTTCAGCTCGCTCGTGACCTGTAAATGTTGCCCCGCCGACACCTGCAACAAAACAAAACCATATTTCGCATTGTAGTTCGTCTACCTCGCATCAGAGATCGTGGGAATCAAGCTCGCGTTAGTGATTCTCAAACGAGAAATTGGCCATCGTTCTGAAGAATCAATTACGCGAAGAATTAATTTTGTTACGGGGTTATTATTCATTTTCACGTCACGAGCTTTTCATAGAACAGTTGAACTGTGGATCATTCAGAAAAGAAACTCGTACAGAATTGAGAGAAGTATAAGCGTCTATTGCCAAGTAAACATAACAGTGAAATTGACGTTTAACACGGTGAGTTTTTCGCGCGCGATCTTTTTTTACGATGTGCGATGTTGCGGTACGTACACTTCGATGGTGTAATAACAAGTTGTCCGTTTAAATTGGTTTTAAACACGGGATTCGTCTGTCGAACGGGACATGGCTAATGTTGAAGTTGGTCTCTGCTTCTTTAGGCACTTTAACGACACACGTGATTACACAGTGGCTAACTCGCTAATTGCGCGCACGCAGGACGCGATAAAAATGTTATGAAGGCTATAAAACGTTACAGAATTACACACTCGTCCGCCCAGTAATCATCTTACTATCAACATTTCTTTTTCTCTTATTTTCTTCTCATTGTACCGCCTAGTTTGTCGCCACGCGTGACTTTCCAAACTTTTAAAGACATTTTGAATTTAAAATCACACACGATACACACAAATCTACGAGCAAAACTTAACCCTCCACTAGCCATGTTAAACTTTAAAGGTACAGCCGATATTTTAAATTCTGATAGAAATCTGTAAAAAAATAGACTTCAACTTCTTGGTAGTAAAAACTCGTTAAACTTTTTATCAGTAAGGATTTTTTCAGATTTTTATAAAGTCTGGAACACAATATAAAAGTCTGTATTAAAGTTCGAAGATCCAGATTGTGGACGAAGAGTAACATTGGCGGAGAGTTAAGATTAATATTTTGATTGTGTGAATTTTGGTAGATAGATTTAAATCTGCAAAAAGTAAATGAAATACAATTCAACCTCTATGATAGTAAAAACTCGTTGTTAAAGTTATCACAAGTATTTTTTCAAATTTTTATACAGTTCGAAATATAAATCTACACCAAAGCTCGAAGACCCAAGTTGCTGACGCAAGGTGCAAGATTCCATAAATGATTAATGAAGAATTAACGATTAAAGATTCTGGATTTAGGCATTTCAGGTTATTTCCGTTGTTATGCAGGAATTCGCAGTGACGGAAATGATGCCTTTCGACGGTGACAGGATATTATCGCCGAGTCGACAGAAATTTCTGGAAAAGAGGCAGCTGACAATAACAAACGGTGACTATCGTGCTGTCGTCGGGGACGTATCACTGGCGATGATACGAAATAGTCACCGTTCCTCTATATTTCATACCGCGTGACGAAAGAGGAGCGAAGAGAGAAGTGGTCGAAGGATAAGCCACTACTGTATCCCGCGGACGACCCTTCGATCCTGCAGGCTATCAAACCCTGGTAATCTAGTTGCGACTTTGTACTCCGATACACATGTATGCATACACGTATCTGAACCCTGTGAGACTTTAAACATTGCCAAATTGCGTATCGCGTCATGTACACAGCTTGCTACCGCGCATTTTTATCAAAATTCCAGCGTCGATCGACTATCCAGTTTTTTTAGCTTGTGAAAAAAAAACGCATTCTTCTTAAACGCAGGTAAAGCGTGTATAAGATGATACGCGTTGTGTACAACCGCGGTACTTAAATATACATGCAGAACCAGTAGAACACAGACGATGACAGACACTTATGCAAATGCATAGGTGTGGAGTCGTCTTCTGCGCTGATAACTGCTTAGTTTACTAAAATTGTCGAGATATATATGACGTACATACGTATATACAAGTATATACGTATACGTATAAGTATATACAAGTATATAAGCAGCGTGTAGACGTTGTGAGCTGCGAAGAGCCGCACACGAGACCGTCTACCGATACGCCAGGATAATTATACACGCAGTCAAGGATTGGTATTTAGTACAACCGGCGTAATTTCGCTGTACGTACTATATACGTATGTATATATACGTGTATATACTGCAAGTATACATATTGTAGACGCTATGTACAGCTACATTTACACGTATGAGGGAATTATCACATCTATCCGCTCGATGCGTATCCGTGTACACGTGTATTTCGCATGATAAGCAACCATAATATATATAGACACAATGTACAATATTCCAGAGTACCCGTCAATCCCTTTGTCGAAGTTGTGGTTGGAGCATTTATTACAACAATCAAAATATTTAACACAAATGAACGAATAAGTGGAGACTTTATTCGATCAAATGAGATACATGGATATCTACCTCATTTCACCTCAAGCAGGTCCTGAAATATGACGATTCAGATGGGTGGTGTCCAATTTCTCACGTCTCTATTTTTACAATATACGGTTACCTAAAGAAGTAAAGGTCATAATAAAATTCATTCATGAATTTCTTTAGGTAATCATACAATGTGATTCATGAATTTCCTTAGGTTGATCTTTAGATAAACCATATACTGTGGTAACGGGTCTTACGTGAGAATTTCTATGGACTGAAACACGTCTGTGATAACACGATAATGTCGAGACACCGTGCATCTCGATAGAGAGCGTACGGAGATACGCGAGCCGGTAGGAGAAACCTACTTGGCCATCGGTCGCGCATAATTAGCCTAAATCACGGGTAGCGTCTCGCCAAGGGGGTGGCTCCTGGATGCGACATCTGCACAGCACGTGTCTTGTCACTGCGACCGCGACACCTCGCCAAGGGCTCGGAGAGAGACAGTTTAGCAGGTTCTCTTGTATTTCCATGGGTGTCGTGAAGTAAGGTGGGGTACGCGAGGCGCCTCGTCGAGCATACTAATGAACGCTGACACGCGGGGCGCGTGACGCTCTTTCCTGACACTTGGGAGTTAAAGACTTTTACTCTAATAAAACCGTCGTCCGTGCGCGTTTTATCGATCGAAACCATCGCACAATTGGAACTCCCTTTACTTCTCTCTTCGCTTCGAGCTCGAGCTTCGATAGGGAGGAAGTCTCGCGAAGTAAAGAATGACTTCCTTTTCGATTTGTATTCGAGCGTGTATTTCGTTTGAAATCCTTCCGGTGTCGGGGGTTCATACTAGTGAAAGCACGAACAAGTAAATCGAAGATGCCGATATTATACAGCATAAAATGGTCCATTTTTAATGGAGCAGATGAGACAAATCGTTTTGAAAAATCAATATTACACCGGGACTCTTGGAATGCTAACACTGCGGGCTCTTGCAATTAAGCCTAGTTAATAATGTGACCGTCATTAACGAGTAATTCGCAGAAGCCAATAAACCGAAGGAGCCCATAAACTAGAATACCTAGCTTCAATCGATTTATTACGCTCAGACATACTATTTCTATATAGTATATACACAAGAGATGTATAAATATTTAATTGTAATTTGTATTCTGAACATATCTATAGCTTTTTCGTTCAATTGAATCAATTTCTATTCTTCTTTCTTTTGTGTAAAATATTTTTATGTTTAACTTCTCTACTAATTTTCTGATCGTTTAACACGAATTTTGCTTCAATACCTTTAAAAAGGTCACCAATATTTAAAAAATCGACTTAAATTCTTGGCTCTATCACAAATTCATATCTCTGAGAATAAACAAGACTCTGCTAAGAGTCTACTAGATTTATTAATTATTCGATAAATTTTTTGCCATATACATTACATATTCTCTCTCTTTTCCAACAATATCAAATCTAACTTTAATCCATTATATTATATCTTCAATTACTTTTTTGTTATATTTTCTCACTACATATTGTATCTTCAATCAATGTTATTAATCAATTAGTTGTTACGGTCACTGAACTGATTTACGCTGCGTTCAAAAATATTATTAGAGTGTCTCCGAGTTTCATTTTATCCTTGTTATTCATCGAAAATTAAATAAGGATAAAATGATACTCGGAGGTACTCGGATAATGTTTTTGAACGCGTCCTTAAGGGGATGCTGGAACGACGGTTGAACTTAATTGATGATAATACACTTTTTAACTCCAAATTCAGTTTCTTACATTACCATTCTATCTCACTCAAACGCATACATCTATCCTTATCTAACATGATGCAATACCATCTCTTGCAGGATCCGGTATCTACTGCTAGATATAATTACTGCTGTTTTCCGATTTCACTCGTAGCATACAAATGAAATTTTCAGATTCTCCTTCCTCTTGTACTAAAGCTCTTACTTCATTTCTACAAGCGTAATGTTGTTTTTTCATGTCATCTCTATAAATGCAATATTAAATTAAACGAATAATTAGATAATTTCGCGGGATGTGCAATTTCTGTCTACGCATTTTTATGTGAACCTCTATTAATACCCTATTAACTTCCTCACATCTCGGACTTCTGACAGGGCGTGTGATTGTTCTTCCTGTCTACTTGCCTCTCTCATCTCTTGCCTCAGTTGTCACGCGATGCTAAGAAAGACTATACGTTTATCTCGTGAACTGATTACATCTGAAATTAAATATCCTCTCATATATAGAATGAAAGAACTGTACTATTTCATCATCCAGCGTTTAATTGATGACTTTATTTTAAATCAGGCGAAATTTGACTTTTATTAGACGCTCACAATGATATATCATTATAAAAATAATATACATCCTAGAACACGCAAATAAAAGATGATTTGACAGATTTGCTGCATAATTTACTGATGATAAGAAGGTATGAAAGCTCTATATTATTAATTAATAATTACTAGTTTAAAAAAAAATGAGTATCCACATGAAACTTTGTTTTATCGGTAATTGATAAATACTAGGATATATAAATCTAATAAAATAACGAAGCTTCGAAAATGTAGACATTATGGCTTACTCTTGATGGTAGAAAGATAAATACAAGTGTGATTGTACCAGCGACATTTGAAATGAACAGTTTTTTTTCGCAATAAT